CCACCCAGAAGCCATCTCAGTGAAACAGTGCCCAGCCAGAGTCTGCTTCCTGAACCCGTCCCAGCCATTAACCCCCTCCTGCACCCAACCTCTGCCTCAAATGTGAGTCCCCCTGCACCCAAACTCCTTCTTAGAGCTTGCACCCTGAACCTTCTCTTGGATCCCAATATCCTGCCCTGGGCTAAGCCTGGAGCCCTTCCCTCACTCCAAACCCAAGACAAGACAAGACCATGCACCCAACCCCCAGCCTGGTGAAAATAAGTGAAGATGGGGAAAGGAAGGGACATGGAGTGAGCAGGGGGAGGCCTCAGAGAAGGGGTGGAGCAGGGGTAGGGCCTCAAAGAAGGGGCAGGAAGGAAGTGAGGCAAGGATAGATCTACCTCAAACCCAAAGGGTTTGAGATAGATCTTACATTGCACTTAAACTGAAAAAGTGATCTTGTGGTTAAAAAGATTGGGAACCACTAGTCTAAGGTGCTGTAGGACTATTCACTGCTTTTTAAGGTTTTTTCAGTTACAGACTAACATAGCTACCCCTCAAACTTTTGAGTAGATAGGAAATATCTATTTAGAAGCCATCAGGTTATTTCTTTGTTTTGAGAGACTGTTCCGTAATAATCTTTAAACACAGGTCCTGGTCACAACAAGCCTTTGCTTTTAGGTTATAGTAGTGAACACAATCAACAAGCATGTGCCTCTCACCCAGACATCTGACAAAGAGAATGTCATTCTGAGTACTTCATGGAATCTTTGCAGGAGTTGTATGTTTTGAAACCAGGAGACCCTGCCATGTTGAGAGACCACCTTGCAGGTTCACTCTCAAAGGAGTGAAAGCAGGAGCATAGAATAAACTTTTTTTTTTTTAAACTAACTTTCCTAAAGAAAGGGTAACAAATTTGGATTATTTTTCCTAAAATTATTCTAATTATATTTGTCAATAAAGAAGAGGTGCATCAATGCTGCATTCGATTTTCAGCAAAAGGACATTGAGAAGGAACTGAGGGGGTTAGACCACACACCAAAACAACTCTGACAATGCTGCAAGACACCAACTGCCCACACACGTTTCAGCCAGGCACAGCTACCGGTGCAGGGACGTGCTGACACTTTGAGTGGAGCACCCAAAGGGACATCATTTGAAGAAGAAAACAGTTACTCCCCCCCCCCCCCAAACAAGCAACATGGGTCCAGAATCCTTGACCCAGTCAACCTTAAAACCCTGACCCATTCCTCCTAATTAGTTTTTGGTTGTCACACCATGCAATAGTACTGTTATGGGGGAAATTTTACGAATGGAAATTATTTAACATTTGCTTTAATGCAGATGAAAAATTAAGAAATTTTAATCAATAATAATTTCCTAAAACAAGATTTAAAAAAAAGTCTATTAAAAACAAGTAGTCCTTTACCACCGTAGAGACTAACAAATTAATTATTTATATTTGTATTTATTTGTTAGTCTCTACAGTGCTACAGGACGACTCCTTGCTTTTAAAGTTACAGACTAACACAGCTATCCCTTTGTCTCTCTTTCAATTGTACATTTGTAATAAAATGTCAATTTATAAAAAAAAAACAAAAAAACAAACACCCCACACAATTGACTTACAGTCCAAAAAAGCTAAAGGATTTGCTTGAAGCTGGGCAATTAATGTATAAACTATTAGGAAAAAAAAGAATGGTGATTTCCAGAGGTCAACAAATTATGGAAAACCCTACTCACCAGACAAAAAAGGGACTCACCACCCTCCCCCCCAAAAAGCGTTTTTTTAATGGCATAAATTCCTAATAAGAATAAGAACAGTAATTACTAATAAGTTACTAATAAACATCACCCAAGTTATTAATAAATATCTGATAAACCTCTACCTTTTCTCTCTGCTGCCATGTCTCCACCCCTTGCTCCATAAGCTCCCCTGGTGTCTGCTGCCCCCCAATCCCTCACCCTCCCCTGCTGTCCTAACTCCTGCCCATCTCTCTGCCCTCAGCCTTCCTGAGAACTGCCCCCCTCCGACAGCCCTTCTCTCCCCACTGTGCCCACTCTGATCATGAGAGCTACCCCTCCTTATCCCCTCTCCTAAAACCTCCCTCTACACACCTACCCTGCTTCTCTCCTCTGGTGCTGGTCCCTCCCCTGCAGGCGTCTGCCCTTCTGCTTCACTCCCAGAATCCCTTGGCACCTGCACCCTCCTGGTGCCTCCCCCTTCCCTCACTCCCCCTGCTCCCTTTGCCCTCTTTTTCCGATATCCACCCCCTCACCACCCTCTGTCCCCTTTCCCCTTGTGCCCGTGCTCTTACACATGACTTGCTCCATCCCACCTTCCTCATGCCCACCCCTTCTTTCAAGCCTTCTCCCAGCACCTCCCCCTCCAGCTCCCAGTGCCCTTACCCTCTCGTCTTCCAGCAGCACCCTGTCCCTCCGTCCACTGAACCTCCCCTTTTCCTCATTGTCTGCATTTGGACCCCTGGCATTTTTCTCTCCTGCATTTCTCCCTTGGTGCCTTCCCCCTTCTTCTTCTTCTCCTCCCATTCCCACAGCCCAGCCCCTTCCCCTCTCCCAGGCCCAGCTCTAGGTTTTTTGCTGCCCCAAGCAAAACATTTTTCAGCCGCCCCTTTTTGTTGTCTTTTATACGTTTGCATTTTGCAATGGTTTTTTTGTTTGTTTTCGTCCTGGCATTTTAGCCCTATAAATAGCAAATAGCATTTTCATTCCTTTTTTTCCATAAAGGCAAAGGCGCTTCAAGTGAACTCCCCCTTTCATTCGCTGCAGGGTCACAGCAGCCTTTTCCCTGGCCTGTCCAGCCCCTCCCTATGGACAAGAACCCTTCACTCCCAACCCACAGGAGGAGTAGGGTGCAGGGACAGCACAGAGCCAGAGGGGTGCAGGGAAGAGTGGGGAGGTACGGGGATGGCGCGGGGAATGGGAGGCACAGAGCCAGAGGGACGCAGGGATCGGGGGGAGCAGGGTGCAGTGGAGGCACGGGGAATGGGACACGGCCAACAGGAGGGGCAGAGGGATCCGGGTCTAGGGGCAGTGCAGGGAATGGGCAACACAGAGCTGGGGGGGCAGGGATTGGGGGGAGCAGGGTGCAGGATGTAAGGGCGGCGCAGAGCCAGAGGGTCGCAGGGAAGAGGGAGAGCAGGGGGCCCGGGGTGCAGGGGAGTAGGGGCGGCGTGGGGAATGGGCGGTGTGGAGACAAAGGGGAGCTGGGGCCGTGGCAGGACTGGAGCCGGTGGGGCGGGCCCTGGCTGCATCACAGCCACTTCCCCGGGACACGCGGCCACAGCCGA